CAATTTTCCTCACTAAGATAGCAAGATTAGTATCATCCACACGTTTCTGAACCGTTTGTGGCGTGGCTGTCAGCTGATTGGTTCATTTATGTTTTTCGTGGTTTGTTGCCGTCTGTAAAGTTCTGACTTCTACAATGCCCCGTGGTTTGCGATCACGTTTCTCACTTTTTGATTGGCTAGCAAATGAGCATCTCCGTTTTTTTTATTGGTCAGCGACCACTCTAAGTAGATTTCGCTCAAGCTGGTTTTGCGTAAACCTGATCAGGCTCTGGTCGAGAGTGGCCTGGCCAGGGCTCCCTGGTTTGATTTGACCATGTTCAGTGGACAAGCGCACTGACCGCCGACTCGTAATCTATCCAATAAATCAAATGTCCGTGCGTGCGTTGCTGGTGATACCGGATGCCCATTGTGGATCGGATCCTATCGGGTCGGGTCGATTAATGGCGGCTTCAGTGCACACTGCTAATAGACCACTCACTTGTTGTGTTTTTAAACACACAAGTTACCGTTCACAACACAGCCATTTCCTGTGGGTGGTTGGCGGATGCTTTGGTGTGGTTTGCTTCTTCTTTCCTATCAAACATCTATCGTCCATATCTCCCTTTCTTCTTTTTTTTATGTTTGTTACTCTCTTGTAACACCTCTAATCTTCTGGCACTCATGACCTTATGCAGTTGTGAGCGCCGTAAAACCTCTACTAAAACTAAAAGCTATTTCCTTTCTTGAGTGCGGCATATCGCTGTTGTTGTGTCGAGAGGTTCTTGAATCCTACTGACATGGGAAAAATCGATAGTTGTCTAGATATATCAGTATCAGCTTCTCTAAAATTTCCCTGTCCATAACTATGTATATCTGTAGGAATCTGATCATTCGACTCGCGACCTCGGAAAAACAAACTCGTCTGCCTCGAAAGACAAACTGCTTTGTTTTTGAAGGTCACTTTCGAATTCAACCGAATTTTGCCACGATGGCAGGTAGCTTTTGCCACTACGTAGAGGAAAAGCTGGATGGCGGCGGCTGAATTCAACTGAATTCAACTGAATCTAATTGGCAGTGTGCACTGGGTTTTAGTATTGTCCTAGCGTCGTTTGACCCGCCTGTCGACCTCTGTGTCTTGAGGAAGTAGTGTTGGAGACTGGTCGCCCATGTTAAGACGAGACAGGATGATTTTCGTTATACAAGTTTCACTACGGTGGGCTGTTTTCTTTGACTTTCTTTCCGTCTTGTTTCCTGTCAAGAAGTATGAGTTAAATGTGCTTTTCGTAGGTGATTGGCGGATGCTCGGTTGTGATCTGCACCCTCTCTCCCGTCAAACATGTATCATCCTTATCCTTTTTTCTTTGTATGTTGCCTTCTGGTCACACGTTTAATCTTAGGTACCTGTTTGACCTATTTGTGGAGAGAGAGAGAGAGAGAGA